TGTCATCTAGTGTACTGGCATTACAAAATACACATTATACTGTCATCTAATGTATTAGCAATACAAAATATACACTATACCATCATCTAGTGTATTAGCATTACAAAATACACATTATACTGTCATCTAATGTATTAGCAGTACAAAATACACACTATACCATCATCTAGTGTATTAGCATTACAAAATACACATTATACTGTCATCTAATGTATTAGCAGTACAAAATACACACTATACCATCATCTAGTGTATTAGCAGTACAAAATACACACTATACCATCATCTAGTGTATTAGCAATACAAAATACACACTATACCATCATCTACTGTATTATCAATACAAAATATACACTATACCATCATCTACTGTATTAGCAGTACAAAATACACACTATACAGTCATCTAGTGTATTAGCATTAAAAATGAAATTTTCTTGTTTTCATCAGTCGGATGGCTCTTTTTCTTCTGGATCATATGGTGCTTCTGGAGATGGTATATTTGGATCATATTCAGGAAAACCTGGACCTAGAGGTCCACAAGGCTTACCAGGGATTAGAGGATTACCAGGACCAAGAGGAGAAAGAGGCTATCCTGGAGAAAAGGGAGAGAAAGGAAATCATGGATCTAAAGGAGAAAAGGTTTGATATATATCCTTTAAAAGCAAAGAGTAAACTAATATTAGCTTTATGGAAGTCAGTGTGTAAATAAGAGGCAAGGAAATGAAAATCCATGCTAGCGTGTTAACCTTTAAGATGTATAAGAGCGTGAATAAGCTTTTATGTCTTTGTAGTAAGGGTGTTGATATTTTAATTTTCTCGGTGGTTCATTTGTTGAATATTACATTATTATTATTGTTACTTTTTGAAGTGCACTGCACATCAAAAGTATACAGTATCAACATGTGACAAGGTTCATCTAGCAAGCAGATTAAATCACATGGACACATTAAATAGATGTATAAGAACACATGGACACATTAAATAGATGTATAAGAACACATGGACACATTAAATAGATGTATAAGAACACATGGACACATTAAATAGATGTATAAGAACACATGGACACATTAAATAGCTGTATAAGAACACATGGACACATTAAATAGCTGTATAAGAACACATGGACACATTAAATAAATGTATAAGGACACATGGACACATTAAATAGATGTATAAGAACACATGGACACATTTAATAGATGTATAAGGACACATGGACACATTAAATAGGTGTATAAGAACACATGGACACATTTAATAGATGTATAAGGACACATGGACACATTGAATTGATGTATAAGGACACATGGACACATTTAATAGATGTATAAGGACACATGGACACATTAATTAGGTGTATCAATAGTTTGGATTCTATGGAAGTGTCTAAATGGAACCAACATATTAAGAATTAAGTGAATTTACGAAAAGAGAGAGGTCATAATCTGTTTGAAGTTTGTGGTCATGCATAATGTGTTGTGCATAAAATCGTTTTCAACAATACTGATACGTGCTAGTACAACTTCTAAAAAAGGTTCAGGTTATCTAACTGTATAGTAAAGCTATGGCAAACAATCACTTGAGAATATCTTTGTAACTTTAACCCGGTTAATGTGGCTACATTTGAATGGACGTTATCTGCAAAATGTGTGTAACGGGCTCATCATGATTTAGGTACATCATCTCCAAGAATGCTCAATGCCATTTTGCTAAATCAGTTATAGAATCTTAACAATATTTATAGATAGAAGACAGCCAGTTTTGGGCTGATTATGAGTCTGGATAGGCAGGCGAATAACTCGTACATAATTATTTTTTGTCAGTTATGATACAATGGACTGTAGTGTGGACTGCTTTCTATGCATTGGACTGGACATGGAACCTATCTGTTTATGATCTGCACATCTAAATGCTAGTGAACATCAAGAAATATTAAATGGACTATTACATGGACAATGTAGCAAATATTTTTGATCAGCAGATGAATTTGGACGTTTGCTATAATGTGCAGGTTTAAGAGGCAGAGCTGTGCCTCACCACACTAGGTGAGTTTCAACCATTGCCACAACATGCATGTTAATGAGACAGAAGGTACCTCACCACACTAGGTGAGTTTCAACCATTGCTACAACATGCACATTAGAGAGACAGAAGGAACCTCATCACACTAGGTGAGTTTCAACCATTGCCACAACATGCATGTTAATGAGACAGAAGGTACCTCACCACACTAGGTGAGTTTCAACCATTGCCACAACATGCACGTTAATGAGACAGAAGGTACCTCACCACACTAGGTGAGTTTCAACCATTGCCACAACATGCACGTT